TCTTTCCCTTCCTCCCTCGCTTTCTTCCTTCTTTCCACGTCTTCCTTCTTAAATGGTATCTACTCCACACTAGGAACTGGACAGTCCTTGCCCCAGTCACCACATACTGCAAATACAAAAATATTTTCAGATAATGCTGAGTACAAAAACAAACTTTAGGGGCTAGTGACTGAGGTGGGGGAGATGACTTTAGAGGAGTTTTGGAAGGCTTCTTTCACATTGGATTGGCATTCCAAGGGATAAAAAAGAGCTGCCCAGGCAGACGTGAAGGAATAAGGGGTACATTGGAATAAAAGGCCAGTATGAACAAGATGAAGCAGGAGAAAATTCCAACTCCTTAATAGCCTGCAAGATCCCTGTGGTTTTCCTGTATTAGAGGGTTTAAAGCAGGGGACTGAGGTTATCTGATAAATGTTTGTAAAAGATGCATCTGACAGAAGTGCACAGTAGATGCTGTAGAGAAGTAAGAGTTGATACCTGTCGCAGTGGTTCTGTGAATTAAATGTAGTTAGATCACCTCCGTGGGTGAGGAAGCTGTGGCTTAGGGATTATATACCTTGCCTGAGCTCATATAGCTTGAAGGTAATGGACGAGCAGCACCAACTTCAAAGCTCACGCCCTTTCCAAGGTACATACTTTGTAGCCCAATAAAAGCATTCAAGGTTTGACAAGCTGAAATAGAATAGACTGCATTTCGTATCTCAGTAAAACGTGGACTGCAGTATCCCTCAAGGGGAGGGATAGGTGGAGCATCTCTGTGGAGAAATCCTCATTTGAATCTCACTATCTGACTCCAGCTCCTTGCTAATAAAGAGCTGGGAATATCCCAACTGTTGGAGCCCAGTGTTCTAACGGGGTTCAGGTACATCCAGGGGCTGCTTCCGGTGCTGGCGGAAGGATAGCAACTGAATTTCTGCCTCAGCTCCCGTCTTCCCTCATAATGCTATGGTTAATTTGAATATGCATTGGATCATAGCCTGGGTTTGTTTTACTAATGTCAATATTTTTGCTACCTAATAGTACACAGTATTATACCTGAAGTCTTCCAGGCTGGCAGGGTGCTATTACAAAAGATTGCTTAATTGTAGATTACTACTGTACATTTAAATTCCAGGAGCATATTAAGCTGTCAGGCTTAATTACTGTTATGTGTTTAGATTATGCTGCAGATTATTTAGTTCAGTACCTAGGTTTGCCAACCTGTTCTCCTTCTGACGTGACAGGGCAGTGATTAGAGCATTCCTGAAAAACCTGAAGTTTTATACCAAGCTGTCTGGGAGGCCTGGTTCTCCATGGACCTTTGGAGAGTTCCTGCTCAGTGGTCGCCACCCCGGCATCCTTGGTGGACCTCTGTATGGAGTAGCCCTGGGGTTCCGAGCTTGGCTTTCTGCGTGAGCTCATCATGGCAGTGATGATGCAGATGAACCTGCTGGTCCCACAGAAGCCACACTGCATATGCCAGGGCAGACTTCTGGGTGGCACTACCATTGACACCACCTTGTGCTGCGGGCTGCCTGTACATTGATACTTAGCAGCATGTCCAACCTCTACCCCTGGATGGCCAAGCAGCCCTCTGGTTGTGACAACCCAAACCATCTCTAGGTGTCTGTCATCCGATGTCCGTAAGGGCCCCAGGTCCCCCTGACCTGGAGGGAGAGAAAGAAACTGCTGGCCCTGTCTTGGTAGCCAGTGTGGAAGATGCTCTCCCACCCCGGCATCCTTGGTGGACCTCTGTATGGAGTAGCCCTGGGGTTCCGAGCTTGGCTTTCTGCGTGAGCTCATCATGGCAGTGATGATGCAGATGAACCTGCTGGTCCCACAGAAGCCACACTGCATATGCCAGGGCAGACTTCTGGGTGGCACTACCATTGACACCACCTTGTGCTGCGGGCTGCCTGTACATTGATACTTAGCAGCATGTCCAACCTCTACCCCTGGATGGCCAAGCAGCCCTCTGGTTGTGACAACCCAAACCATCTCTAGGTGTCTGTCATCCGATGTCCGTAAGGGCCCCAGGTCCCCCTGACCTGTCTTGGTAGCCAGTGTGGAAGATGTTCTCCTCCTGCCGTACGGTACCTGTCTTGGTAGCCAGTGTGGAAGATGTTCTCCTCCTGCCGTACGGTACAGTCCTTCATGCTTTCAGGCGGTGGAGGCACCTGGCAAAGGTGTGGTGCAAGAGAACGGCCGGCATGAAATGGGAAGCATGAGAGAGAGGGCCACGTCGCCTTCTTTGAGAACTGGCGATTTTTATAGACCACCTCCAGCCAGGTCCCGGTGATGCCTGAGTACGGTGAGGTTCCCGAGTTGTGCTCCTTTGCTATTCGTATGTCTCCTCAAAATGTGCTTAAGTATGATGTGGCTGACACAGTCCTTCCAGGTAAGCCGATGCGATGACCTTCAGTACGTGGTCACGGGAGGCTGCTGGACTTTATTTCTCCATCACACACAGACACGATCCCATCCACACAAGCAATGGTAAAAGGTCCGCATAGCACACTCTTCTCCATTTTCTTATTATTTTTGGGAAAATCATTGACTTGTACAACACAATCATTCTAATACTTTCACATTCATTCATTTTCTCCACCCCCTTCCCAATCCTTCTCTTCTTTCTTCTCTACTTCCTCTGTTAAACTAGCCAATTACTCCTCTGTGGGCAATCCTGTAGGCCATAATAGATTATCTGACATGTAATGACATGTATTTTTGTTGATAAATGAATGAATGAATAAAATTATTCATTAGACAAAAAGGAAATCAGAATTAGAATCCTAGGTGTGTATCTTTCTAGCCTGTAGGTGGTAAAATTAAAAATAATAACAGAAAGGCTTACTTACCCAGACTACCAACTAGAGAGTTTGAGGAGCTGAGTCCATCTCAGGCCTATTCTGTGTGAGCTTTCCTTTGTATGTGTTGGTACTGCCTTCAACGTGAATACTTCTTCTCTGTCCAGTTATGGAGATTCGTCAGAAAGTGTTCACTTGCACACTTGCATACAGGTCGTGTGTGGTCTGGGGAGAGGAGGATTCATGCTCATCAGTGCTTCTGTGCTGAAGGTTTGCTTGGCAGAGGCAGGCCTCAGACTTCCTTAGTCTGCCTTTCTTCTCATGGTACATTGATATGAATGAGGTGTTTTGTTTTCATTCTGCTTTGCAAAGCACCCTGAAGCCCTGGCTGGGTGCTGAGTCAGGTGCTTAGTGAGGGTGTGTCTAGTAAGAGCAGAGGGTTCAATTCAATTCCCAAAGGTCAGCTTACTCCTCTATTCCTTTGTCCCAAGAACCTCACATTTTCTCACCTTAACACAGTGCCTAGAGAGAGTTCTCTTGGTTTTCCAGTTTGATTCATGAACGCCTCGAACCTCAGCACAAGCTCAGAAAGCCTGACAATGCCTTCGAGGGCTGACCTCCCCCAGTGCCATGGTCAGTAGATACAGCCCGAGGATCAAGACCCTGATCTTAATACAGGGAATCAGGCCTCCCCAAGGAAGTGGCTGGATCCAGGGAGTTTCCATCATGGTTTACTGTAATTATCTGACTTGAAAAATATGTTTTAGATGTGGGAAATTCTTCAATAAATAATACTTTCATATTAGGTTGAGTAGCCAGTCATCAGATTTAAGAAATAGACTAATATATGAGGAAAGACACAATTTTGTAGAGGGAATTAACCTCAGGCACATCGCGGACGGATTGCAACGTGTGGAATATCCACGGTCGTCCTTTATCTTGGTCAGTGTCTGTGTGACCTAGAAGACCCACATCCTAAAGAGATTCCTACTTCTCTCTCAGCACCGCTTTCTAATCTGAAGCTGAAGTAGGACATTTTTAGTGTATAAAGGTTGGACCTTAGAGATAATTTCCTAACATTCAATGAAAGCATCCTGAAGAATAAAAGAGAATTACATTTCATTACCTCAGCCATGAAACTAGGAATTATAATGTGAACATCTGTAAGACTGAATGCGAATTGATTAGTAATAATAATGTCTCCTTGAATAATAAAACACCAGTTGCTATGGTCCCAGATATTTGATTAGTATCACTAAAAATAATAGTTCTTATAATTCTGTGATTTTTTTCCCTTAAAATTAGAAAAGTGTCGTATGCATCCTATTTATAAGATAGTGTTTTTCTTGTGACTTAGAGTTCCAGAGGACTGAGCTGTGGGCTACTTCTATTATGGTGTTCTCAAGGGTTGGTCTATAAAAATGGCCACTTCTCAGAGAAGGTGACGTGGCCCTCACTCTTACGCCTCCCATTTCATGCCATCTTTTCGTGCCTCCACAAACTGTTCTTACCTAGAACTGAAGGTCTCTGGGCAGAAGGGCTAATCCACAGTGACCTGATGTTGAGAGTGGCCAAGATGGCCTCTGTGTCCACCAGAGTTGGGCTGCTTGATGGCTTGGATGGGGGTGATAAGACAGCGCACATGGCACACTCTTCTATGTTGACTGCCTGGAGGTCTCCCAAGTAGAGTGCAGAACCCTAATGGGAAACAACCGGACAGGGCAAGAAATTGTCAGATGGAGGGATTTTATATCAGGGCTCATGGTAGTGGCTTTTGTGGCTGGTGGGATTTTTGAGCCAAAGCCACTTCAACCTCCACTGGCTTAATTTTAAAACTTAGTTATCTGTTTAGCCTTTAAAAACATATATTTTAAGGTTTTTGCCATAGGGTGCATGCATTCGCTGGAGAGAGAGAGGGACAGAGAAAGAAGAAAAGTGAGAAATCCCTCTCACCTCCCCCATCCCCAGGGAGGATGGCTATGCTGCAATCTCTTCTTTTCCATTCTCTTCTTAGAATTATGAACATGCATGCACATGAACCCAGTATGATCTTCAAGCTTTTAAGTAGGGGACTCGAACTGTGGTTGGCCATGTTGGAGTCCAGTGCCTTAACCACTATGCCACCTGCTGGGTCCTGGTTAGCCTCTTTTTAAAATTTTTAATCTTTATTATCTTAGTGTGAATCATGTTCACAGACCCTTTCCTGAGAATAAATTTGTTTGAGGAAAAGGAGAGTGAGGAAGGAGCACAAATCTCTTGAGACGACTCAAGTGAGATTAGAGAAGCAGAGTAAGGACAGTGGAGGAAAGGAAAGAATTCAGAGAAAAGAGAGGCCTGGACTTAGCTGCATATTTTGCACCCTCACAGTCTTGCTAACAGCCGTGCCTTCTTGTACTCTGAATTAAGCAGCAAAATGCCACTTGTTTCTTTCTTTGGTGGAGAAGTAGGTCTAGATCTAGGCCTGCCTTCCACTAGCTTAGAGTCCAGTATTGACTGGATTTGGGGACTTCTGGTCATTTTCTTTCTTTCCGTGAGCAGAAGCAAGAGTGGCCGGTTGGGTTCTCGAGAAAATAAGTGCTGAAGGTTAAAAATTATTCCTCACATGTTGCCACATTTTTTGAAAATTCAAATGCTTTGATGCATTTCATAGTGCACAAAATGGACTTTCTGTCCAGGGAAACGGTGGCATAGAGTGGGGTACAGACCTATGACAGTTCCATGCATGTAATTACAACCGCAATACCTCATGTGCACAGAGGATCCATTTCTCAAAAGTGTCTACCCAATTCCTCCTTTTTACAGGTCTATCAGAGACCATGTAGCATTGAGAAATCCATGTAATATGTCTTTAGAAAAGATGAGGAAGAGTGCAAAGGCCGACTAGTATTAGCTTATGCTTAGCCATTGAATTAGAACTGGACTCCGAAATGCAGAGCTCTTATTTGTATAGACTTTAAAGCATGATAGCTTGAGCATAAACTCTAGAGCCACAATATCTGCATTTAGATCCTAGTTTTTCCATTTTCCGGCTGCGTAATCTTGGCCAAGTTACTTCTTCTTCCATGCTCATAGTTCACCAGCTTTAATACTACTCCATAGGGTTATTTTGAGGATTAAATGAGTTAATATATGTAAAATACTTAGAACGTTTTCCAGCACTCAGTAAGCACTATATAACTGAAAGCTATTAGTATTATTAAAGTTTTATTTATTTATTTCTTCCATGAGAGACATAAGGAAAGACATAGAAGCAAGCACCTCAGCTGGGTCTTTATGCTGTGATCCACCCCAGCCTCAGGCAACTATGATCCAGACATGGGTGTGTGGCTGGCAGGTACAAAGTGGCGCCTAGACCTTTCCATGAAGATCCAGTTGTTATTGCTGCACCACCCACTGGCCTGCAAGCTGTTATCACTATTCATGCCAGAACTATCAGTATTATTATAATTCATATTAGTGTTATCATAACTATTTACTATGCGAATACTTAAGTAGCTAGTCCTTAGGTGACACTTACAGGCAGAATGAATATCCGGGGAAAATTCCGAAGAAAACGCCATTCTTTCTGCAAGTAATCCAGAGACCCAATGAACACAATGTCCTTCAGTTCCTGCAGGGAATAGTTGCTAGCTCTCAGGGGCATTACAAAATTCCGAAGCCCCATCAGGGTTGAGTGGGCATCTCCAAATATGCATGCTACGATGTGGTTCCGAAACTTTGGTTTGTCAGTTCGTTTCTAAGAATAAGCATGCGAGAGTCTGGTCATTTTTATAAACAAAATGAGAGTCCCTCAGAGAGGGCGACCTCCCCCATCCTAACTCTTCCAGGTACACCCATAGCAGTATTTTGATAAGGTTAATAGACTTTTATAAATTGCTTATAAAAGATGGAATTTATGCATATTAAGTGGTGCACTTATGTCTTCTTTAATAAATAAGAGGAGTTCCCTCTTATTTTCCTTTATTTAGTTTTCTATTAAAGTGTATAAATTACTTCAGATCAGCATTGTTCCTCAAAATGTGAAATTACTATACTAAACACGGAAAATATCCTGATTTTTATTATTTGCTTTTAGCCTTGTATTGACCCTGCTACGTTTTGGTGAAAAGCTAAGACATTGCAAATTTTATTGCTAAATGCATTTTTTTTAGCAAACCCTGAGCATGGCGTCCAGTCATGCAACATGCTGCAGTGGTCTGTGGGTTCTGTACATCATTTGAAATCATGTGCCATGACATCCTTGTGGGTGGAAAATGGTTGAAAATTGGTATGATTTGACTTAATACACTGAATTGATTCAATATATGCTTTCCTGAGTCAAAAAAGTTCTTGCAAAGTGCACAGAAGAAAAAAGAATGTGCTGCAGCTTGGATGTTCCCCATCCATGTGTTGGGACCTGGTTGTGTTGGAAAGGTACTTAGTGAATATTTAATCCCCTCATGGAGTACCTGAGGGGACTCCTGTGGGCGTGATACGGTCATTATAGTGTAGTCCCATGACTGAGTTCTGGGGTGGTCAAAAAGGGGAAAGGAGACCAGGGCAGACAAAACCTTATGAATAGCTGATCTACTGGAGAGCCTGCCCTCTTTCATGTTCTACCCTCACCAGAAGTTGGTCTCTGGACCGTGAACCTCCAAATCATGAACTGAATAAACCTCTATGTCTTTTTTTGGAGAGGTTTTCACGGTAGGGGGCGTGCGTGTGCTCACCAGACAGACAGAGAGAGACAGAGAGACAGAAAGTGAGAAATCACCCCCCAGGGGGGATGGCCACTCCGCAATCCCTTCTCCTCCGTTCTCCTCTCGGGATCTTGGGCATGCACGCACACACGCCCGGCGTGAGTTTTAAGCCACCGGGTCCAGGACATGAACTACGGTCGACTACGTGGGAGTTCTGTGACATAGCCATTATGCTAATTGCTGGTCCCCCAACCTCTATGTCTTTATAAATCACTTAGTGATTGCTATTTCTGTTAGTCATACACAGAAGGCTATAAAAATTCCAAACATCTGAATATGTCTTATGTAGTTAGTAACATCAACAATCTCCCTATATCACTAAGTTGAAATAAAATAATCTGCATTTTATAGGTGGGTAGATAAGTTTCCTCCTACCTTGCTAGGAATTCACAAAAACAATAAACAGAACTTTTAATAATGATATTTCCATAGGAAACTTATGTTAAGTCTTAAGTCTGGTTTTGTTCAGGGAATGGATATAGTAGAAGGAGTGCTAAAATTTGAGATAGGGGTGTCATCTGTATTCCAATTCTGTTGTTATTTATAGGACTCAACAAACTACGTAACCTTCTGGCCATCAAGTCCTTTGCATTTAAAATCATTTTTAGGGACCAGCAGATGGCATAGTGATTAAAATGTTGGTCTCCCATGTAGTCAACTACAACTGGAGTTCTGGACCTGGTGACTTGAAATTCACACTGGGCATGTGTGCGTGCACGCCCAAAATCCCAAGAGGAGATTGGAAGTGAAGGGACTGTGTGTGGCCTTCCTCCTTCGGGGGATGATTTCTCTCTGTCTCTCTGGCGAGTGCATGTGCCCTATAGCAAAATTTTCTAAAAAAAAATGAATAAAATGATTTATTCTAGAAGGTTAATTTTGCTGTGAAAAATTAAATAATAAGTTGAAAGTGTAGTGTTGTACTCAATTATAGTTATTAATAAAATTTGAATTTCAATGAAGTCCTAGATTTTCAAAGGACAGCACTTTGCAGTGGATAGAGGGTCAGTTAAATGTATTTCAATTTCAGTATGAGAATATTCTACTTCTTAGACACAAAGACTCAGAATATTTCAAATAAACATATGGCCAGTCCTTTGCTGGATTAAATGGCAAGCTTCTCCAAAAGAAGAATTGGCAAAATCTAGCAGGACAAATAAGTAACACTGGATATTTCAACAATTAGTTCAACAAATTAACATATGCTGGGAAAGACTGTCTTCCCAATGGAGGGTCTCCCTGTGAAGAGAAATAAAGCTACCTGTCCAGAGAATATTCCTATAGAATGATGTGAATCTTGACCAAATCTGGTAAATAATTGTTGGTAACTAATCTGATTAGCCTTAACCTGAGGAATGAAGCCTGTAAGGGTATTTAATGTGACATACCCAAAGTCCAATGATTGCTCTTCTGAGTAGAACTAAGCAATTAGAAACAAGACACATGGTGGGGTCCAGTTATGGGCATGGCTAGAGGGTCAAAGCTCTTCAAGAATCTGGAGCACTAAACTGTCTCTCAATTAATAGAGGTGGTGGCTCTTAGAGGAAGGGGAGCATGTGCTATTTGTTCAAAGGAACTTAACTTGACCATGTCTACTGAACCCTTAGGCAAATGAAACCAAATTCAAAGCCTCTCTGAATTTTGTGATCCAAACACTTCTCCTCTACGGACATGAATTTCAAAAACCTTAGCATTTCTAAAACTAGAAAGCCTTCTAAACTTGACAGAAGACTTTGTCGGTGCTCTGAGCTATATTCCACACTGAGTATCATAAGGAAAACAGCTATCACGGCAACCTGTCTGTGTGCTCGCTAAAGATCCTGATCACACATCTGTTGTTTCCGCTCCTTGGTCTCTTGGACGCCTTAATCTACAACCAACTTCCCCTCCTTTCTAAAGATCTGCCTCCCACTGAAAACATGTTTGACTTCCTGCTCAAGGGATGTTTATTTTGTGCAGTTCAGAATAAGACGTAATTGCTAAAATGGTGAGTTTCAGCAACCCTAATAGTCTTCCAGTTGATGTGACAGCTCTGACAGTTTTGTGCTTCTGATCAAAAGATTGATCACACTTTTACAGAAACTGGGACATATTCCTGCAGGACATTGGTATTGTGCCACACTGTGTGTGTCTGCGTATGTGTGCATGTGTGCGTGTGCATGTGTGTGTCTGTGTGTGTGCACATGTGTGTGTGCTTGCATGTGTGTGTGTGTGTGTGTGTGTATCTGACAGAAAAGATGACCTAAACTACTTTCATAAAGCAAGAAAATATATGTAAATATCAATTGGTCAGAGATACAAAATTATATACATGACATTCAACAATCACCTTCATTAGTTCACTGTACCAGCCACTGCTTGTAAAGTAAACCACTGTGAGAGTACTTGAGCTTCTAACCCTGGAAAATGAGAATAGATAGGGAACCAGAAAGTAGGTACTGAAGCCTGGATTGAATACAAGGCTATTCTCAGTGAAAATGCTGGCATTCCAGTGAAATGAGTGAGTCCTTCCCTGGGGAGGAGACACAGGACAGGACTGTGATACCTAAAAGGATTCATCTAGGTTCTTTGGGATGAAGGAGGGGATCATTTAGAAGATGGATTCCTGGCTAATGTGTTACATCTAAGCATGGATCTTTGAGTAGCTGTACTAATTTACATTTCCACCAACAGTGTAGGAGGAGAAAAATAATAATAAAATCAAAGAAGAAAAAAATCAATAATAAATAATAAATATAAGTATAGCCAGCTTTAAGAAAAGCACTACATAAAATCCATATTTTTAAAACCAAGAAATTAAGGAAATACTTATTTACTAAACATTTACTAAGGCAGACGAAAGACTGGAGAGTCCTTGTAAATAGTAGGTTTCCCTGGTGCATTTAAATTAATTAGATCTGGTAGCATAACAGTAAATTTTCAGGAGAACATTGTTCTGAATAACTGAGTCAGCTAAACTGTCAAAGGCGGGCAGAGTGGGTAAAGACTTCTGACTGTTCTAAATTCCAGTATTGTGTCCACATAGTCTTCATTAAGTGCTACATGCATTATTTACCCTGAATATTATTCAGATAGCTGGTGAGGTATGTGCTTTTCCCATCAGAGTCACAGTTTACAAAGAGAAATGATAGGTGCTTATGACTAGTAGCAGGACATCAGTTAGTTACTCTACAGAGAAGCCTTCCTCTGTTTGAAGCCTGGTGCAAGATCACTTACCAGAATTGCTTTTTCCAAAGGGGTTGATTTGGACCAGTGAAACAAGCCGCTGCTATCAAGAAGATGGGAATCTTGCTCTGTGTCATTCAGTAAATCCCTAGGTAGGAAGAATGGAGAGAGTCTGAGGACACCTGGGCTCATTGCAACAAAGCCATGATATAAACTCAATAGAGCCTCATACCCAAACTGGAAAATAGAGAACGACCTCCGGAGTGCGAGACTGCAGAATAAAGCCTCATGTCTGAAGTGCACCAAGAACTGAAGGTCTAGACTGTAGACTGAGGACTCAATGCTTTGAAAGAATTCAGCTAAGACTCCCTTACCTGAAATGTTTTGCCCAGAAGTGTTTTGAATCTTGAGGTTTTTTTTTTTTTTTTTTTACTATTTTGAAATATTCATACGTGTAGTGAAATACCCTGGGAGTATAACTGAAGTGTAAATATGAAATTCACTTGTGTCTCCTGTGTCCTTGTATGCATTGCCTGAAAGTAATGTGTACATTATTTTTGTATAGCAGCATTTTCACTGACCCATCACACAAAGTCAAGTGTGAAATTTTCCACTTGTGGCATCATGTTGGTACTAAAAAAGGTTTAATTTTTGGAGCATTTTGGATTTTGAGAGTTGGGATCAGGCATGTGTCTCAAAGGTCATTATTTCTGTCTTAGGTTTGCTACTAGCCTGCTATTACTACTGCTTGGCAGATATCATGCGTGATGCCCTGGGAACCTGATTGCTGAATGTAAGTGATTGAAAAGATCGAATCTTGGGGCATCGTTCCCCTAACTGTTGTCTTTCCCTCTCCTTACTATATCTTCATCGGTTCCTGTGAAAACAACCTTATTCATTAAATATATTTTTCATTCTTTACACTCTTTGCAGTTTTCCATTACTAGTCTGCCTTTATCTAGACTTTGCCTTGATATTAGTCTAGGTATTGGCAAAGACTTCCATGTGATAACCCCTCTCTGCACTTAGGCACAATGCTTGCCTTATAATACAAATGCTCCTGGACTTATGATGATGGGTCCACAACCCAATAAACCCATCCAAAGTTGGAAATACTGTACGTCAAAAACAAATTCAACACACCTAACCTACGAGATCTAATAGTTTAGCCAAGTGGTCAGAACACTTACATCGGCTGATCTTTGGGCAAAGCCATCTAACTCAAAGTCTGTATTGTGTTTTATACTGTATGTAATTAGTAAGTATTGTACTAAAAGGGAAAAACAGAATATAATCTTTATTATTTTAAGCCAAAGTCACTGTCAGCTTGAGAAAAAAACAAAACAATGGCAGATAGTATCATCAAAAAATTGAACAATATTAAATTAAGTTAAAACAATGTAAGTCAGAGACCAGCTGTATGTACAACCACTTGAAGGGTTAGATGATCTTTTAAAAATTCTCACTCACATCCTAAGGAATGCACATTTGCTTATTAAAAAACAGAAGAAACTCTTCTAGAACCATAGAAAGTTTAGGCTTAGAAAGGACCTATGTAAGGCAAGAGAATATAGTTTTCTGCTGCAGAAAGAACCTAAAAATCCCAGGGGTTGAACATTACACAGGTTATTTCTTGATACACTATATTTTGCCCAGGCGAAAAGGTACCTCTGCCTACACAGTCACTCAGACCCTTGGGCTGACATATCACAGCCACTACACCTAGACTGTGTGTCTTCCTTAGTCAACAGGTAGGGGGGAGAGAAAGGAACTGGAAAATCAAGCCAGGCTTTTATCTGCCCTGGCCCATGGTGGCACACATCCTGACTGCTCTCTTCTCTGTGGCCAAAACCAGTGACATGCTCTTGCTACCGTTAAGGGATCTAGGGAACTTGAGAAGCAATTGAAATTCTTGACAACCATGTTCATCTCTGCCTGAGACTTTAATGACTTCCCTTCCCTTATTTTATGAATACGAATCAAAGAGCTAACAAATGAAAGGCTAGCATTTGCATATAATGCTAAGGTTGTGACTGCTGGTGCTCACAATATCCATTCTCCTTTTCTTCCTGAGCATATGGACATTTAGAAGGGACTGCAGGGATAGTTCTGTCCAGTGGAAATGAGAAGTGATGGCTCAGGTAGTAAAATTCCCTAGACTCTTCCTCCTAACTTGCTGGAGATGACCAACCTCAGTCCCTGAGTGGCTGTGTGGAGCAGAGTGCCCCAGTCTGCTTGAGCTGTGTTGCACATTGAACTAGAACAAGAAATGGATCTTCAAGGTACTAAGCCACTGAGATGTCATGGTTGTTCTCAAAGCACAAACCAGTTTGATTTGAACATAACTACCTTTTCCAAGGTTTATTTGTAACTGGAGAAGTCCTGAGTAAAATGTTTTCTGAAGTCAGAGTTTGAGAAGATGGTCCCTCTGAGAGTCACACTGCACTTTGGCACATGAAATGTTCTGAAAAGTCTGACAATAAGTAAGTAAATCCTTAAAAATCACGTAAGTCAGTGTTTCACAAACTTTTCTGAACATAAAAAGGCTTACTACTTACTTGTATGCTTATTAACATATTTACTTAAGAAAAGCTATTAATGTGCACTGGAATGCATATTGGGATATACCATACTACATCATGCTACAGTTTCAGCCTTGATAAACAGGATTTCATGACAGTGCACTTTCATGAGATTTTTAACCGTATGTCTTTGGGGAAATACAACCTATTGCTCTCTGTGCTGTTGGGTTAGGGTTTTTCCTGTGAAATAATGGAACTTTTTATTCAACACCTGGACCAAAGACTCAGCCCGTGACATACTGACAAGCAATTTTATTCTCTTCAACTAGGCTGGCATCTGAATTGCTATCTTAAGTCATAATTTGTCAGACAAAAGAACTTACTCAGAGTGAGATTGAAGTGTCAGACCTAAAGTGTGTGTGGGGGAGGATCTAGGCAGCCTGTGAAATAATGGAACTTTTTATTCAACACCTGGACCAAAGACTCAGCCCGTGACATACTGACAAGCAATTTTATTCTCTTCAACTAGGCTGGCATCTGAATTGCTATCTTAAGTCATAATTTGTCAGACAAAAGAACTTACTCAGAGTGAGATTGAAGTGTCAGACCTAAAGTGTGTGTGGGGGAGGATCTAGGCAGAGAAGCCTGGATGGGGGGGGGGGGGGGGGGGGGGGGGGAGACAGGGAGTGGGGAGGTGCCTTCCAATGAGGCTCCTAGGCACAGTGCCAGCTTTGAGGAAGGGGGTTGGGAGCATGGTGAATGCGGGCTTTCTCCCGGCCTCAGGCCTCTGGGCCTCTGAGAGGGAGGGGAAACCGCTGACAGAGAAGGGAAAGGATGAGGGGGGGGGGGGGGGGGGGGTTGGGAAGGAGTGGATAAAGCACCAGAGAAGGTTTGGAAAAGCAGGCAGGAAAAATTTTAATGAGATTGCTCAAGTCCTAACTGCAATCCTTTATCTCCCTCAGAACTTAAGATTTTCCCTATACATTTCATGGGTTTAGAGGATTCTGGTCTTTTACCCAGCTAGGAGATGCTGTGCTATTAGCCTCAAGGTCAGCTCAACCACAAAGATTTACCAGGTTCTTTCAAATTAGCATGCCTTTTGGTGGTTTAACTATCTGTAAGTCATGAGCCCCAACCCTGAATTCTAAGAGCCCCTCGGACTGTCTTAATGGTACCAGACAGGAATGTGGTGATGGCTTCATTCTAAGCTCGTTAAAGGGCCTCACAAGGGAACACACATACCTGAGGCCTGAGTCTGGTTGTGCTTTTTATCAGGATATGGAGAACTGGCTTTGTTACTTATCTGTCGAACCCACTTTCTCACCAGGAGTAGCTACCTAGACACTGTCCTTCAGATTTCTTGAAACATATGTCTGCACCATGTGATGGTGAAGCCATGTGGACACTGCTCTTACCTTCGGGGAGGTGGCTTCCTGCCCTATCCCTTATACTGCTCCCTCCCTTCTGGTCACTTTCTTCAGCTCCCCCCTCTTCTGTCATTCTCTTCCCCCCACCCCCCCTGCCATGATGAGTGACGGGTCCTTGGTCTGGTAATTAAATGCTCTTTGGGAAAATGGAAGATGATCTTCTCCCGAGCACATTTTGACTCAACTCAGAATAGCAAATCAATCACTGTGCACATTTCCATCATAATAAAAGCGTGATCTATGTACACAAGCTGTCACAGACAACATCTTTCTTCACTCTGCTGTTATGGAAAACAGACATGCCTTAGAGGAAACACCTGCTGGAGTCCTACATAGAAGGAAGGCAGGAGGAAACCCACTTCATCATGAAGGCGCCCATCTGGTATCCTTGCCAAAGCGAAATCTAATGCAATTTAGATCACCATCCCTTAACTAAAGTTCTCTTCTGGCATGTGCAATGCAAATGGCATGATTCTTGCAGAAATACATGCCCTTTAAGAAACTAGGAGTCATCCACGAGAACGCCCAGTATGAGCAGTCTTGGAACTGCTACTGGAGGAAGAGAGCGCTCCAGGCACCGTGCGGGTCAACACAGATTTGTCACGTCCCAACTGCAAGGAAGAAGCCTTTTGGGTGAAGGGGCCTTGTATGTGGGAGAGGCTGGGATGGCCCTCGACAAGACATGTTTGGGATGTGGGTTGATTGGCTCCTGTCACATGACATGTTTTTCACTGCCCAAGCAAGTGTGCAATGTCCCTCTGAGAGCATCCAGGAGGCGCTAGGCCTCGACACGTCCTCAGGTCTCTGGCTTCTGCCTTTGGAAACTGAGAGGCCAGTGTATTGTGTGCAAGCAGCCTCTGCAGCAGGCCCACTAGTGCATGGCCTAGCAGCTTTCCTTTCCGAGGACTGCCTTCATGTGGGCCGCTTGGATATGCGTGAGCCAGTGTCTGTGCACACACGCACGGACACGCACCCGCTGGGAAGGCAGACTCCTTCCTCTCTGCTCTCTGGCCCACTTGCAGTGCAACTTGGACTCTCGTATGTTCACAGTGCCCTGTCATGTGGAAGCCTGTCACTTCAAGGAAAGAGTACATCACACACCGTGGGCCTTTGGTTTCCACTGGTGGTTCCTGATGAGGGATGATGAAACTGCACAGGAAACTTCTATTAAGAAGGTAGAGTATGCCTCGTAGTACAGG